ATGTAACTTATTCTCAATAATCCGATTAGATTTGTAAAGAAATCAATACAATCCATGAAACAAGGAAGTATTGAACAGTTTTCTAATCTTAATACAGGATTTCTTAATAGTATACATCTACGACCTGCTGAGGATCAAACTCAAAGCCTACAATTTATGTGACAAGCCTTTAACTTTTAGACCAATCATTCAGCATTGATGATAAGTCCTGCAATACTATGGAATAGATTACATGGGTTTCATTCTTTTTTATGATTATTTAAGTAATGTCAATCTATGATCTAAACTGTAAAGGTTAACCATCTCCATGGTACTCTATATATTTAGTTGAATACACTATACTACTGATTAAAAAATATTATCGAAAGAATTATTGCATAAATTTTTACTACTAATGATGTCCACAATAGACAGAAGGATAAGTTGAATTCATGAATCTATTAGAGCTAGATTGCCATGGAAAACTTTGAAACACTGAACGGCGGTTTACATCTTAGTATAGGATGGATGGAAATTACATATTAACACCGCTGGATGCCAGCTCAATGTCTAGAGTTTAAGCATTCGCGAGCAAAACCGAAAGTCTTAAGTTTGAACCCCACCTGCAGAATCTTGAGTACACATAACCGTTTTCCATGGTGGTCTAGCTTATATCGATTCATCAATTCAACTATTAAAATTACTACAATATCCACAAATCTCATTCTGTTAAAGAACGATTAGTCACAAGAAATGAATCATTGTGTTCCAGTAAAATGACGCATATATAACGAAAGAAGATGAATAACTTTAAGGCTAAACATGATTGAAATTTCCATAAAATGATTGTTGATCATGAATTTTGATGATTATTGATTATCAATAGTTGAGATCATGAATCAATTGAAGCTAGACCACCATGGAAAAGCTGGAAGCACTGGACGGCCGTTTCGTCCTGTTACGGGACTCCTCAGCAGTGCTCATCCAAGACCTCGCCCTCTGCGATATTCGAACCCAGGACCTACTAGTTTTGCGCGCAAGCACTTAATGACTAGAAATTACTACAATCTCCACAAAATCCCTTCTGATACTAATCAACATATGCTCACTAGTCACTGGATTCAAGATGTACATCCTGGAGTTCTAGTGAGAAGCTGTTACAAGTGGAGTTCAACCAGATCTGTTGTGAGATAGTAACTCACTGATGAAAGTGGTGGATGTGTCACTCAATTTCGTGGATTAGTTGAAGTTAGACATCAACACTGTTGGATGCCAGTCTGCACAGTGGTCTAGTGACTGAGCGCTCGCGCGCGAGACTGATAGATCCTGGGTTCGAATCTCGCGAGGTCGGGTCGTGGATGCGCACTTCTGGAGAGTCTCACAATAGAACGAAACGCCCGTCTAGTACTTCCAGGTTTCCCATGGTGATGTAGCTTCAATTAACTCATGATCTCAACTGTTGAAATAATTTATTAATAAGACAAGTTAAAAAGTTCTCTATAAAAAGTGGAACAGAGCAAAGATATAAATGAATGAGGGTTATGAGTAGATGTTTATAATCTGAAGTTGAAAAGAATGACTTCAACTTGAAACATAGTGAATACAAAAGGCGAATATATTGCTTTTATACACAATAATTTCAACGGATCTCAATGGTTTTAATCATGTAGTTTTTAATAACTGACCCTAGAAACTATGCAAGACCATTCCTTCATACAGTGTTTTTATCTACCAAATGAAAAATACTAACATTATTTACGAATTGTTTGAAGTCCTTTCATCATCAAGAAGCTATATGTTCTTGTGTATGCAAGGGTTATGCCTTTTTCGATGAAGTTTTGTTCTCTGAGCTGGATGGTTTGGTCATGGAGCTTTCATCGTTCTTCTGAACGACATCATTAGCACAAACTTTGGGTAGCGTTGGTCCACCTGAGCTACAAATCTTCTCCACAATCTCAAGGGTTATACCCTTTGAACACAGCTTATGTGACCAACTGTACCTTAGTTAATTTGATAAACATACATTATTAACCTTATCGTCTTTCACTATTGTACCAGTATATACGTTTTTGAGATTATATCAAACTTAACGACAGTGAACTTGAACTGGTGAAGAAGATTTGTAGCTCAGGTGAATGATTTTGATGCAGTTTTGTTCTCTGAGTTGGATGGTTTGATTGTGGAGCTTTCGTCATTCTTCTTCTCAACGACATCATCATTAACACAAACTTCAGATAGAAGTGAAATGTTCGAATTTCTCCACATGTGATTCACAGCTTATCCTATATGCAATCAGGAGAATTATTCATAAACTTGGGAACAAAAATCAAACCAAAACAAAGACGTAAACAATGATACGTTTAAGGTCAACAAGAACCAATTAACATCAAGATGTACATGACAAACTGTAAACCACATGTAGAGAAACTCGAACATTTCACTTCTATCTAAAGTTTGTGCTAATGATGTCGTTCAGAAAAGGAACGATGAAAGCTCCACGACTAAATCATTCAGCTCATAGTGCCCAACTCTATCAAAAGTGAACTTAAGCGTTATATCATAGCTACATCATCATTAAATTAAAGTTTTAAGTTGACAATTTTCTTATTTTGTTTTAATGTATCCCTATTTTGTAATTCATATTTAAATGAAATTTCTATTAAGGTTTATCCAATTATTGATGAACTTATGGTAACACAATTGAAATCAGCATTAGAACGTTATGAAAAGATGTTGGCTGAAGAAGAAGAAACAAAACGTAACTTACAAATGAATGAAGCAGATTAAAACTTTAATTAATAAAACAAAAACAAAAACATGCTGAACGAATATACTCACGTACACACACACACACACACATACACACATACACACACACACGTACTCACATACACACAATCATGAATTTTGTATACATGAACATAATGGTGATAATTTTTGGCTTCCATTCTCGAACTTAATAAAATAATCATGTTGTCTTTTCTTTTGTGAAAACACCACTTAGAAAAAAACTGTAACTAGTGTAGGTGACTGTCAGGACTCAGTAGCTGAGTGAATAACGCGAAACGTACTGAGTTCGAGTTCCAGAGTGAACATCAACTCTCAGATGATACAGGTACATCCAATTGATGAGTTTTAAATAGGACGAAACGTGTGTCAAACCACTATCCATTTTTGTTTATAATACTTGTGACTTAAGGTGATATCGAGGTAATCCGCACAAGATACACATATGTTAATAAGAGATTGATCGATTGCAGTCCTATACAACAATGGGAAGATACAAGTAAACAATACCAAGTGAATGTAACTAGTGCAGTTCATTCATGTCGGGATTGAGAAATGTAGAAAAGATTGTATCATAGAGCGATTCAAAACTCCAAATATCAAATGTGGTTACGTAGCAATGAGGGAGTTAGAGAAGAATAGACGAATGGAAATAATTTATGGGTCATGATTATGAAAGATAATTGTCCGCTTGATAGATATGAAGAATCAATGTAAAATTTAATGGTCATTATAGTAACTGAATGATGATCATGAAACATTGTTAATGGATAATAATAACTGATTACAATGGAGTTTTGTTCTCTGAGCTGGATGGTTTGATCGTGGAGCTGATGATGTCGTTCAGAAGAAGAATGATGAAAGCTCCACAACCAAATCATCCAGCTCAAATAACAAAATTCGATCAATATCATGTACCTGAGCTACAAATCTTTTCCACCATCTCATAACTGATTACATTTTGCACAAAGCTATTACTTTTCAACTACATCTCATAACATTATCCAGTGTTGTTTCTAACAGGAGAATGCAAAACAAACATTAGTTCAATACAAGAACACCTGATCAACTCTGGAAACGTGGCTTCAAAGAAGTTATCATTCAAAATAATCTAAATAATTAAAAGAACTGGATCAAAAGGAGGTTGAATCAAGAACTTATGCACTACTGAGACGTTGACGATCCACCAAATCAAGTCCGAACTCTACGAGTTACTATAATGACCATTCAATTTTACATTGATTCTTCATATCTATCAAGCGGACAATTATCTTTCATAATTATGACCCATAAATTATTTTCATTCATCTATTCTTCTCTAACCGCCTCATTGCTACGTAACCAAATTTGATATTTGGAGTGTTGAATCGCTCTATGATGCAATCTTTTCTATCATTCACCAAACAACTGTATATGTGAATGTAAAGTTTAAGTGAATGATCTCGTTGAAAAGAAAATTCTCCTCCCCGAATTCTCTTTATTTTCATTAAATAACTGATAAATAATTAATAAGGTAGAGTATTTTCAATGAGTTCTGGTAGATGTTTAGTTCGATCCCTCTAAGGTTTTGAGTGTTCAGGGAGCTGGGAAATTCTATACTAAAATGAAATAGCTTTCTAGCGCTTCCTAACTGTACGGTGGTTAACTAATTAAACGTCAATCAATGATACTTACCACAAAATTTAAGAAATTTTCCCAATGGATGAAAGTTGTGACGTTCATAGCTAAAGGTACCAGGTTAGAGTTTTCATGTGAACATCATTAGTGGGATGCAGACACATTGAGGTGGAGTGTATCAAATGAATCGCGAGCCATGGCTCCCACTTCTAACCACTATCCAACATTATCAAAATACTTGTGATTAACTGGTGACAATAAGATGATTCTTTCCGAATGTGTGTATGCAAAAACTGACTGACAAACTACAGCCCTTGACACTGACAATGGTAAAATACAAACTCCTACAGGCGATGTTTACTAAAAAAGACTACGATATTATCGACTTAAGAACATTTACCCTGATGGTTTCAAACGATAACTAAAAATAGAAGCTTTCACCTATTTTAAATGCATCGTCAATATCATTCTCATATCGTTTCTGTTAAGTAGTTTAGAAAATATTAAATCGATGTACATGCTTCAATGATTTTTTCAAAATATTTGTTAAAATGTTTTGACTACTCAATTAGTTATTAAAGTAACATAAATTGAATTGCTAAAAATGTACGCGATAGTTAAAAACCTCGTAATATTGGTCGAAATGCCATTGAAGCAATCCCACACATATTCCAATTGTTACGAAGTACTTTCACGTAACCTTGTTCACCCCATTTTGTTCCCCAATTATTTTGTAATATCCAGTAATCGTTACCATCATTATCATAACCGTAACCAACAAGTAACATACTTTGATTTAAATTATAATGTGTACATGTATCAGATTGATATATTCCTGATCTGAAAAAAAAAGTGGATTACAAACTGGATTTATTGTGAAACGAATTCATATTTGAATCATAATTTTCTTAAATACCCACAAATCGAATGGAAAATTGACACATTCAGATAAGGTTAGGATGAATAAATTTAGGTACTACCAGAATAAAGTTATTTGATTAATTGAATCCCGGTTCAATGATCTAGAAGTTGAGTGTTCAAGTGTGAAGCTGAAGTTTCTGCGTTCAATCCCTGGTCACAAGATCATGAGCAAAACGGCTGTCCATTACTTCTATAATTTCTATGGTGGTCTAACCAAGATTAATCAAGGGATTCAAAACCCATGAAAATTGTACCATCTTCACAAAACCCTACCCTTGGAATGAATTGAATGTTATAAGATGTATCCCCTGATCAATCAACAAACATAACAATATTTCAGCTTCATAGTAAATGTGTTCATATTTTTAGAATCAATAAATTAACGAAACTGTTTAAAAGAAAAATTACCATTCATACCCATCAAAGATACCAATCTTACTAAGATTAAACAATTTTCCACTTCATCCTACTTTTCAATGTTTATCTATCCAAAATTCAGTTTGTACTAAGAACACTCTTCTAAACTATGTAATGACAACGATTCTTTTATGCATAGGGTCCCCTGAAATCAACAAACTGCATCACGAGGCTAACCCTAACACTTGGAGTCCTTAAGGGAAGTGGAAAATTGGGGAAGGCTAAAGAACACATTAGGTCGGGAAATAGAATCAGGTATGAAAAGGATGAATAACAACTGGAAAAAGTTGGAAAAGATTGTCCATGACAGAGTTCGATGGCGAGTGCTGATGGGCTGCCTGTGCTCTTCCACAAAGAGTAACTGGCGTAAGTAAGTAAGCTTCAATAAGCTACAATAGTTCAATAGATAAATCTCCTTTGTGAATCCCACTCTCTTTCACACACTCACGTTATGATGAATATTCTCACTGTTGGGATGATCCAGAAAAGTTCTTCCAAAAAAACAAGCAAAGATCAGGAAAACACTAAGAAGCATTTCATCCAATCATCGTTCACTTGGAGTTTTAGCTAGAAACATCAACGATGTAAAACGTCACATGTAGAGGTTCTGATTGATTGATCATTATACTACTACTATGTTTAGTAGCATTCTAGAATCTTCGAGCAACCTTCTGTCTCATGTTCAGGTCGCTGTATAGTTCTAGCTCGGGAGGGGGGGAGTAACAAGAAGAATAGCTTAGGAACTGAGTATAACATTCAATTAGCAAGACTTATCACTTACTTATAATGTAAAAAATTCTCATCAATATTCATTGAAATAACATATGGACCTTCATTGTACACTGCCCATTTCAAAATTGTTTCATAACCATGTCGATGAAATTTATAACCGATCGATTGAATAATCACATCTGAACTATTTGCTACACAATCTTGATCCTTGCAACAACAAAAAAAATACAAAAACAGATCAGATCAGTTACAGTCAAAATCCTGATCACATTTACAGAGTTAATGATAAATTGATTAGATATTCTTCTTAAGGGATGAAATATCAATTAATAAAGATTAAATTAAATTCATTTTGGTGTTGTTTTACTTGCATCTTCCCATTAATATATAGGACTGTAATTGATCAGTCTCTTGTTGGCATATGTGTATCTTGTGTGGATTGCCTCGATATTGTCTTAAGTCACAAATATTATAAACAAAGGTGGATAGTGGCTAGTAGTGGAATCCAGTTTAATACACGTTTCGTCCTATTTGAGCCTCATCAGTTGGATGTACCTGTATCATGAGAGTTGATGTTCACTTTAGAACTCAAACCCAGCACCTATCGTTTGCACAAGCAAGTGGCTATCAGGACTCAGTAGCTAAGTGTTATAACGTATGACCCGCCTATTAGAGAGCAGCAGCAAATTATCGATCGAAACAGTAACGCACAAAATACGAGCGAGCAACCTAGAGCTCTGATTAGCCCTGCCTCCCTGTCTAGCCCAGTTGAGTCCAGAACAAGTCTCAGCCTCGGAGATATGAATCAATAGATAGGGTATAACTCAAAAATGGTAAATCGTATAATAATAGTTCATAGGTCAAAATAAAACTCATAATAAGAGAAATATGGATATGAACAGATTAGTTATGCAACAATTATATGATAAAAATATACTCATAATATCAGTTCATAATTAGATCCGAAAAAATACCATTCACTATTCTTATCAGGATACAACACTAAGTGGACAACGTGATGATATTTGAAGTGAGCAGTACTTGGTTCGAGTCCTAGAGTGAACATCAACTCTCACATAATGCAGGTACATCTAGCTGATGAGTCCCAAATAGGACAAAACGTGCATCTTGGATTTCATCACTAACCACTATCTACCTTTGTTTATCTATTGGTAATTATTCATAAAATTCAGACATTTGATATTCTATCGAATATAATTTATATTGTTGATCAAAATAAATGGTACTTCTAGTCGTTTCTAAATCAATAAATAAAATGAAAACAGAACTGATTTGGCAGTTAATCAATATTTTTTTTTTTAATGATTAACAACTATCATTTTCATTGTTTATTTTAAATCAGACTGAAAATAAAATAGAGAATCTTTCATTTAGGTTTCATTTAGGTTTATATTCATTTTATTTCAGTCGTTCATATCCCATAATGATTTATCTGTATATTTGAACAAGTATAATAGAAGACAATGAATGATGTGAAACTTCAATTATTTGCATTTTTATGAATCGATCTAAGTTAGACAACCAATGAAAGACTGGATGCACTAGATGACTGTTTTGTCCTAATATGAGACTCTTCAGAAGTGCTCATTCATGATCTCACATAAGAGATTCGAATCCAGAACATTCAGTGGTGGAAAAGATTTGTAGTTCAGGTGGATGATTTTGATGGAGTTTTGTTCACTGAGCTGGATGGTTTGGTTGTGGAGCTTTTATCGTTATTCTTCTGAACGACATCATCAGCACAAACTTCAGGTAGAAGTAAAGTGTTCAAATTTCTCCATATGCGTTTCACAGCTTGTTCTGTGCATGCGCTTACATGAACATCAATTAGCAGTCAAATGGCATGATATCTCCTCACTTATATCAATACACGTGGACAACTGCGGACACACATTCGATTGGAAAAATGTGGAAATCATGGACAGAGGAAATTCTAAAAACACAAGAGAATTTTTAGAAGCCTGGCACTCAGGTCAATCAGCAATCAACAAACATATTGAAATCGATCAGATTTATCAACCAATCAGGAAACTTATGCACAAATATAGGAACAAGAATCAAACCAATAGGAGACAAAACCAAAACCAAAGAGTAAACAATGACAAATTTAAGGTCAATAAGAACCAATCAACATCGAGGTGCACAGAACAAGCTGTGAAACGCATATGGAGAAATTTGAACACTTCACTTCTATCTGAAGTTTGTGCTGATGATGTCGTTCAGAAGAACGATGAAAGCTCCACGACCAAACCATCCAGCTCAGAGAACAAAACTCCATCAAGAACATTCGGTCTCACATGCAAATGATTAACTTCTAAATTAGTGAGCCGGCATCCGATGGTGTTAATCATTTATTACTGAAATGACTGGTTTTTATCCAATATACCCTTTGCTTATATGAACATTACTAAATGAAAGACCAACACCTTTCATTTATCAGATAGTCTTTCTTCCTCTCTTTCTCCATCCCCCCCCCCAATGAATTGTAATAGTTAGATTGCCTACCTATTGAATGTTCAAATTACATGAATCATTGAAGTTATTATACAATGGAATTACAGGGTCGTTTACGAAAAATAATGAACAGTCTCTTCATACTAATCATTCATAACAGATTGATTATCATTTTAAACATAAACACACTATCCAAGCTAATTATGTTTACAGAGAAAACTGACAATTCGTGATTGAGATCTTGAACCGATTGATGTTAGACCACTATTGAAAATCTGAAAGTATTGGACGACCGTTTCGTCCTATTGTAGGACTTCTCAGCAACACATCCCACAATAGGATGAAATGGCCATCCAGTGGCTTCAGGTTTTCAATGGTGGTTTAGTATCGATCGATTCAAGATCTCAATCAATAACTTATTAACTTCCACAGTGGTGTTGAGTACTGTTAGAGGTATGAGGGTGGTTATCACTTCCCGGTTGCCCACACCGTGGAAGGGTTCTTCTGGAGGTACCTGAAAAGAAAATTGGATTAGAAGTGGTCTTAGTGACCTGAGAGCGTGACCTCAGTGCCCAAAGGGACGGCTGCTTGTGATTGGTCACGCACGACCTTTTTATGAGTGATTTTTGTGTTAGCTCCGTACTTGTTTGGACCTTACCGTCGGAGACGGATATCCGTGGGATAAAGCGAAGTGTACATTTGTAGGGTTGACTTTTTCTAACCCCACCTCTCCTTGTGGGAAGGTAGCATCTCTGTTATGCTGGTTTTCTGAAGGAAACACCTTACTGCTGTCACACCTCTGTACAGTCAGCATTACGACTTCGCCTTCGGACCTTGGATTTGTTGCTTTTAGTCTTACCGCTGTTCAACCGACCCGTCTGGTATGCTAGGACCTTGAGGAACGTTGTTCCAGCCAGTATAGCTCAGTTGCTTCATCACGATAGGCAAGCCCGACCACCACGTCAAGGTAGCAATAACAGATGGGATTAACTTCCATAGCCCTATTCAGATGAAAACCGACAGTGTTGTTGACTTTGATCGTTTTTCAGGAGTCTCAGGGTGCCTATAGATTTAAAGCAATAAACTAAAAGGAAAAAGATTTATCTGATGTTACATCATTCATGATTACAAATGAAAGTCACATTCATAAGCATATAACATATCAATTAAAAATCATGCATAATCGTTTGTATTGGTGAATGAAATCAATAATTTGAAACCTACCGCACCCGTAAATGGATAATTCTCTTCTGTTTCTAATCCAAAATTTTGTAAATAAATAAATAATGTAAATGTATAACCACCATGACATCCCATATTACCATATATTCGTGTACAATCAATAAATTGTTGTACAGATAACTTTTTTCGATTCGATGTACGTAAAGCATATTGTGATTCAGTTACAGCTGTTACAGCAAATGCATACGAACCAATACATGAACCCTGCCAGATAGAAACAAGTTATACAATAAAAAAAGAAGAAAACGATATAAAAAGATAGATAGATAGATAGATAGATAGATAGATAGATAGATAGATAGATAGATAGATAGATAGATAGATAGATAGATAGATAGATAGATAGATAGATAGATAGATAGATAGATAGATAGATAGATAGATAGATAGATAGATAGATAGATAGATAGATAGATAGATAGATAGATAGATAGATAGATAGATAGATAGATAGATAGATAGATAGATAGATAGATAGATAGATAGATAGATAGATAGATAGATAGATAGATAGATAGATAGATAGATAGATAGATAGATAGATAGATAGATAGATAGATAGATAGATAGATAGATAGATAGATAGATAGATAGATAGATAGATAGATAGATAGATAGATAGATAGATAGATAGATAGATAGATAGATAGATAGATAGATAGATAGATAGATAGATAGATAGATAGATAGATAGATAGACTGATTAGAAATTTTGTCACCTAAGTTTGCCATCATCAGAAATTCACATCGATAATTGCACAAGCATTCTAACCCACAATATATAAATCATAATTGGAGATGGAATTCAATTAACACCTTTTTCGATTCAGGCAGTCTCTGATATCGTACAACTTCCGTAAACAGTAATATTAATAAATCACGAGCTCATTCACTGAATCACTCACTCATTTATTCGTTTACTTATTCACAAGCTCGATAAGTGACTGTTCGACTCCCATTCAACTTGATCTGACAGATCATAATTTCACTAAGAACCTCATAATGCTCATTTATAGAAGTTAATTATCAATCACCACACGAATCAACTGAAGTAGAAAAGATGAACCACTGAGATTTTAACACACCATATAGTCTCAATGCGTTGCAATCCATGGGGAACATTAAGTTCATTGAATTGGATTGTGTTCTCAGTTGTAAGTGAGCAATATGAACAGCTTCCAACTCGAAGTAACTCATTGGTCAGTGGTTTGGCTCAACTATTTACCAACTTCTGAAATATGTTTCATATTTTGCTTAAACTGAATAGATATGAATGTTACCTGAAGGAATGCATACTGTATTAAAACAGGCTTATATATTATTGTCATATTAATTACTGGAATAGTTACATAGTGACAGTGAAATTCTTGACCTATCATCCTTCATATCTATCCTTTATTAAAATGAAAGACAACTATATTGGGAATAAGACCCATTATTTATGAGATAATATGAAAACATAGTTGTATCAGCTAAACTAGTAGGAAAATTTAACGATTGTCTACAGATAGAAGATACTGACTATTAATAAGATATTTGTGGTAAAATCATACAATTAATACTGTGAATTCTTTGCTGTACCAAAATTTATAGTATTGAATACTTACTTACTTACTTACTTACTTACTTACTTACTTACTTACTTACTTACTTACTTACTTACTTACTTACTTACTTACTTACTTACTTACTTACTTACTTACTTACTTACTTACTTACTTACTTACTTACTTACTTACTTACTTACTTACTTACTTACTTACTTACTTACTTACTTACTTACTTACTTACTTACTTACTTACTTACTTACTTACTTACTTACTTACTTACTTACTTACTTACTTACTTACTTACTTACTTACTTACTTACTTACTTACTTACTTACTTACTTACTTACTTACTTACTTACTTACTTACTTACTTACTTACTTACTTACTTACTTACTTACTTACTTACTTACTTACTTACTTACTTACTTACTTACTTACTTACTTACTTACTTACTTACTTACTTACTTACTTACTTACTTACTTACTTACTTACTTACTTACTTACTTACTTACTTACTTACTTACTTACTTACTTACTTACTTACTTACTTACTTACTTACTTACTTACTTACTTACTTACTTACTTACTTACTTACTTACTTACTTACTTACTTACTTACTTACTTACTTACTTACTTACTTACTTACTTACTTACGCCTGTTACTTCTAATGGAGCATAGGCCGCCGACCAGCATTCTCCAACCCATAGTATTGAATAATGTTCTAATTATTCACCCGTTGATCACATAATACTAACTAATGTAAAGCTTGAGTTCAAATCCCACAGATTAAATCAGTTTCATTACAACTTGGTGTCTAGTATGCTTATAAGTCCTGGTAGCATAATAATATAGATTTAGAATTTTCAGATAACTATCTTTAATCACTTAACTTACATTGATACTTTTCATACTCACTCATACAAATAACAATGAAAAATGCCAAGATTTAAAACGGATCATTTCAACATTCTATCGTATTCTATAATGTTTGTCTATAATGATAGTTACTTTGTAAATTGATTCTGTTATATGTAGAACTTATATTTTTCTTGTTAAACCATGTACCACTTGAACACTCGAATGTTTAAACCCGTCAAGTCACAAATAAGAAGATAGAAGACTGGTGAAAAGGAATCTTATTTCAAACAGTATCAAATATAGTTCAAAACACTCAGATATTTATAATTTTTTAGTAAAAAAACGAAATCATCATTGCAATCATTCAATCTGCTTACAGTGGTTTTTATCATTTGTTCAATTGGAAAGCTATACATCAAGATTCTGAAAGATGATTGGATGAACTATGTTTGGCTCTCTCTGAGAGCTTCTTAGAGATACCCTGAGTTCACTAGAGGCTGTTCCTACAGATACATATTTAATTCTAATTTCATTATAATGTTTACAAATGTGTACATTGTCTTATGTCAGATTTAATTCTTAATCTATTTATGACCACTAGAGTACGTAATAAACAAATACGATTTACTTGACTTATTCTGGTTAGCGTATTTTTTAGCGAGTTAGTTTTCTACGCGATGAAGACGCTAACCCGATGCCCAACCCTCCTCCTTGACCCGGGTTTGGGACCGGCAGTAACTTTGGAAGAGCTACAGGCGGTGGACTACAGTGCAAAGTAGTGGATGGAGGATAGCTGACAGTGCATTCCAAGTGAGGACCGGAGTAAGACAAGGCTGTCTACTCTCTCCCTTCCTCTTCCTTCTGATGGTCAACTGGATTATGAAGACCTCGATATATGAGGGAAAACACCGCATACAATGGACAGCTCACAACCAATTAGACGATTTGGACTTCGCAGATCACCTAGTCCTTCTATCACATACACACGAACAAATGCAGATATAGACAGCCAGTTTAGCAGCAGTCTCTGCATCAGTAGGCCTCAACATACACAAGAGGAAAACCAAGGTCTTCAAATAGAACACGGAGAACAGCAATCCAATCACTCTTGATGGCGAAACTCTGGAGGATGAAGAGTCCTTCACATATCTGGGAAGCATCATCGATGAACAAGGAGGATCAGATGCAGACGTTAATGAGAGGATTGGCAAAGCAAGAACTTCATCCATTCAATTGAAGAACATATGGAACTCAAAACAACTTCCTCTCAACCAATATCAAAGTCATAATCTTCAATACGAACGTCAAGGCAGTCGGTTCTACTGTACGAAGTTGAAACTTGGAGAACTACAACAACCACCATCAAGAAGGTACAAGTATTTATCAATAGTTGTCTACGCAAGATACCCAACATCCATTGGCTGGATACCATCAGCAACAGCCTTTTGTGGGAGAGAACAAACCAGCTTCCAGCTGAAGAGGAAATTAGGAAAAGACGATGGAGTTGATCGATAGGACATACATTGAGGAAATCATCAAACTGCATTACGAGGCAAGCGCTAACTTGAAATCCTGAAGGGAAGCGGAAGAGAGGAAGGCCAAAGAACACATTACGTCGGGAAATAGAAGCAGATATGAAAAGGATGAATAAGAACTGGAGAAAGGATTGCTTTGGACAGGGTTGGATGGTGAATGCTGGTGGTGTGCCTATGCTCCTTTGAGAGGAGTAACAGGCGTTAGTAAGTAAGTAAGTGACTTATTCTGAACTGAATTAGAAATATGACTACAGATGAATTCCTTCTATGTTTACAGATACATATTATTCAAGTACATTTTGTAATACCATTGAGTCAAAAAATCTATTATCACTATCGGTTTGTGGAGATTATTACGTTTTTGATTGAGATTAAGAACCGATTGATGTTAAAAACACCATTGTAAACTTGAAAGCACTGGACAGCCGTTTCGTCCTACTATGGGACTCCTTAGCAATGCGCATCCACGACCCCGCCTCGCCAGACCCAAAGCCAAAGCCTTCAGTCTTGCGCACAAAACACTTAACCTCTAGACCACTGAATCAGCATCTAACGGTGTTAATGTCTTACCTCAACTAATCCAACAAATTTTGTGACCATTCTTGCACTGAAGTAGATACCTATCTCTATCTGACCTAGAATAACTCTACTTATTACGGCTCCCCATTAGAACTCCGAGAATTCCTTCACGAAGCTAGTAAGTAGTGAGCACATGGAAGATGTCCAATCAAATAATGTAAACACTTCAATTTACCAGTAATTAAGTCACGGCTCAAATACTTTAGTGGATAAGTTACTAAGTATGATTGTACTTGATTAAGTCTTTGATTTGACTAAAAATATCAAACCACATTAAATCGAGATCGATGGTTTCCAATAAATTACATCCAACCACTTAGCAACACCTAGGTAAATTTCAATGAAATATCAAACGGGATAACGTCAGATAAATGCACCTAGAAATTTACAATATTACAGAAATTATGACTGTTTAGTATTTAATTTACATAAAGAAGATATATAAATCTAATAATTATTGCTGAAGGTCAGTCGCGGCCCGGACAGCCTAGTGATAGCGTTTCTGACTGTGAAGCTGGATGACACAGGATCGAATACATCAGAGAGAATCAGTTCCCTCAAGATTACAGGTCCACCTTGCTGATAAGTGCCAAGTAGCACGAAACCCAGGTCCAGGGTTTCCTGTCGACTACCTCCAACCACCATCTTATCTCAACATAGAGCCCGCAGTGTGTCAAGTCAACTAGACTGATGACCACATTGGAACTTGGTCGATAGTATTCGATCTACACTAATAATAAGGACTAAACAAGCATGACATTGATCACCACCTAGTGATCAATCAATTGTGATTACATCTCAGTCTTACAGAAGGTCGATCGCGGCCGCGAATAGCTCAGTGGTAACATCTCTGACTGTGAAGTTGGGTGACATGGGATGAAATCCATAAGGGAGCATCAATTCCCTCATAGGTTACAGGTCCACCTTGCTGATGAGTGCCACATAGCACAAAACCCGGGTTCAGGGTTTCCTATTGACTACGTCTAACCATCATCTTATTTCATTATTATTACATAATAAGTAATTAACTAATATCTTACTTCATCTCTTGGTTCATTCACAATATTAAAATGACGCCAATCATATGAATCCGGTATCCAACCCATATTATTCACATTATATTCTTCTTCAATAAATGATAATTTAGGTATGAGAAATCTTTTATCTATTTTATACATTGAATAATATTCATTCCATTCAATATCACTAAATTGACTTAAACCAATAGAATAAGTTTCAATGCCTAAATCATAACGTAAATTATGTAATTGAATTTTAATGAGATTTTTATACCAAATTCTTTGTCGAATTAATTCTTCATTATAAGTAGTATATTGTTTAGTATAAATAAATTTCCATTTCAACCATAATTCATTAAATTTCAATGTTCTATTTGATAATGAATAGATATGATGTAATAATATATGTAACAAAATCAATAATCTTATGATGAACTTCATTGTATGTGTTCTTCAGAGGAACGTCTTGATGTAATAATTCACCTAATATGAAATGTACATTGATACATGTAAATATATTCTGAAATGATTATGTACTTTGAGATAGGTAAGCTGAAACACTTATGAATGATAATTATATAAATGATGTTTTTGTAGAAAGGAAGGATATTGTGTGTGTGTATGTGTGTATGTGTGTGTGTGTGTTTCCGTTCGACAATTTATTGGACTTTATTCAATGAGTAGTACGTTTCATTGATTAAATAGCTGGTTATAGATGACTTAGAATTATTGAAGGCTTCAATCGATCATAGTGAAGTGCTCAGGAAATTATTTGACTATACTGATAGAACAATGAAACATCAAATTCAAAATGGACAACACTAGGTATTAAGATATCATGGGACTGAAAGAAACTAACCAGAATGGTGATAGATTTGAAAAATTTATGTTTACTCAATAAAATTGTTATAGGTGACATAGGATTCTCAAACACAAACATATTTAAGATGCTATACGGATTAATCTCTTCGGATTACACAACACAGAACCAGATCGATCATATATTACTTACTTACTTACATCTGTTACTCCTAATGGAGCATAGACCGCCGATCAGCACTCTCCAACATTGATCATATATGCATCATTAAAAAATCAGAAAGTCAAGGGAAGATGTGAGAACAAAGAAAGGAACTGACATAGCTTCAGATGAGACTGAAAACTGGAGAAACAGCATTACAAAGGTTTAATACAGCCTTCCTTCGATATACTGACAAACTCAATCAATTCAAGATAACTCTCAACAACAGGTTCAAAGTCTTACAGGATCTATTGAAAGAAGATAAGGAAGCTACTGTTAAGGAAAACTGGATAGGGATCAAAGAAGCATTAACTTCAACGTTTTAGAAGGTTCCAGGAGATGGCAATGAAAATCATCATAAGGAATGCGTCTCTATCGAAAACCTGGACAGGATTCAAGACAGGAATAATAAGAATACGGTAATTACAAACAGTTAAACAAGAACAGAGAACGCTAAGGCATAAGCCGAATACACAAAATCGAACAAGCAAGTGAGTTGGAGTACTCGAGCTGACAAACAGAAATACGTAGAAGACCTAGAAACAACATTTTGAAATCAATAGACCGAATTCCATAAGGATCGGTCTTGAACAGACCAAATCATGACACTATGGATCATCGTTGAGCAATCAATTGGATGCAACTCACCACCATGTATCAACTTCATTGACTATGAGAAGGCCTATGACAATGTGGATAGGAGAAACTTATGGAACATTCTTCGACACTATGAAGTAAGTGACTGAGAAGATCGTCAACATCATCTGAAATTCAGACGACGGACTACACTGCAAAGTTATGCATAGACGACAACTGACCAGACGCATTTCAACTAAGGACCGGAGTCAGACAATGCTGTTTACTAACTCATGTAATTGAGCATCAGAAAGACCAATCAAGTACTTTTCATTAATTTGAGTCTGAAAATTCTTGCGATTATATACGTAAAATTCCAACATTAAACCAGAGTAAGCTGATAGTTATTAGTAAAGAATAACTCAATTCTATCCCAACTTTTTAAAGACAATGAAATCTTCACGAATAAACTATTCAGATTAGAGAATGAAATTCTATCAAAAAATACCTCAAAAGATGTATATACACTTGAGTTTTTTATGCAGCCTCCATTTATTGAAATGAAGTATAAACATTTTGACTTTGTTTTATCTTCGTAACAGTTTGAAAGCTTGAGTTCAGAATAATTCAAGGAGTAGGGTTAGTACAATTTCAATAGAATAATATTTATTTTTTGTTCACTCACTGAGCCAGCGCTCCCTTTCAACTCAGATACAGGAACACGTCCCAGTTTCGTTCTACAAGGGTGAGAGGAAGGCAATTAAGAGTTCTATACTTGAACATCTAATCGACTGTAATCATTCTATGGATCCACAGTTTTATTTTAAGGTTGTATATATAATTCATTTAAATTGATTAGGCGTTGATATTCGTTTGCAATATCATTAAGGGTTAGTTTTGGGTCTTGGTTCAATCGATTTAGCAAGAGTGCTCTAATGTCATTGAACTTCTGCGATTGAAGGCTGCAGATGAGAATGAGTGCTTTAAATTGGTCTTCATTAAGCGACTTCAACCGGAAGCGTTCGCATTCTTGGTTGACAATACCCACATGTGTGAGAAAATCAGCATCTTCGTTTATAGTGAGCCTCAAATATCGATAGCGCATTGAATAGTGAGGAGCAGTCTCCGAATTTTGGCTCAATGACTGGACAGTGTCCGAGAATGAGCGATCGCGTGTGTTTAGAGGTAGAATTAGGTTGCAATACCTGTCTAGTTCACTAGGATCCAACTTTCGAGGCAGCAAGAGGACCTTCCAAGCATCATCCTGGTTAGCAAAGTCAAATTTGAATAAGTCTTCGTAACGTCGAAACTACATATCAAATGTGACATTGGATTCCGGATCACAATGAAACTCGGAGATACTATTAGCGATACCATCAACTGATGGTGCGGTAGTAGTAGGATTAGAACTGCTTGGTTGAGTATTAGACGTAAGCTGTATATCTGCTAACATCTGAATAAGCTTTATCTGCTGCTCGAGTAATAATTGAAGTTTAGAAGGATCCATGTTTCCGAAACCACCGTCGCCAAATTTGCTAGATTTGAAGCTATCACGAGTTCACTTAATCTGCGAACGAGAACAAACACTCGGTGACCAAAGACCAGTAAGCTAGTTATTGATTAGTCCCAGCCCCGCTATTTAAAGGGAGAACTCCAGGCTTGGAATGGGGAAGTATATTCTGCAGACAGCCAGAAAACGAGCGAGCACACAAACACAATTTAAAAACGTATATATACAAATATATATAATCGATATTGCCATGGAGCTTTTAAACATTTAATCGATAAGAATAGTTTAGTTAATTAACAATGATACGGTAAAAATATACGTATAGTATTGATCCACAAATGGATCCTAAAAGTTACCATTCATTATTCTTATCGGAACATAACACAAATCTACCTAGATTTCTTCGTATCCAACTCATAAAAATAGCCGAGGTTCATACCATCCATCAGTCTCGTTATAAAAATAAATATGTGTAGGCTACATTATAAATTGAACTTTTTACGTATGTAAAAGGTTGACTAACATAATGAATGATCATTTTTTCGGAACCAGTCAACTTTCATTTTATGGTATAACTAATTATACATGGTCATTACCAAGTAGGCAGTCAATTGTAAATATATCTCTATTCTACATGAGGTCAATAGTGGCTCAAACAGCTCAAAGATAACGTCCCTGACTGTGAAATCAAGTGACATAGAATCAAATCTACCAGAGAGTATCAATTCCTTTAAGATTGCTAACGAATGTCATATAGCATGAAACCTAGGTCCTGGGTTTTCCACGCGACAAAATCATCAATCCGAATACTGACTTATATAACCTTGTGTTAAACCAATGACACTTCAAAACAGCACTAGAAGCTTTGTGTCAACTTTAAATCCTTATTGATCCTTCATTGCCTAGCTCTGCCCTGTTCAGTCCAGGAACCGATCGCAGCCTCCCATGTTTAAATCATATATTTCAGACATATGTACTTTACATACGACCAAACTAGACTGTATCATACGATAAAATAAAAAAATAACAATTATACAAGATCAAGAACCGATTGATGTTAGACCACCGTTGAAAACCTGGAAGCACTGGATGGACGGTTCTTCCTATTGTGAGACACGTCAGCAGTGGACATTCACAATCCTTACTTACTTACTAACTTACTTACTTACTTACTTACTTACTTACGCCTGTTACTCCCAATGGAGCAAAGGCCGCCGACCAGCATTCTCCAACCCACTCTGTCCTGGGCCTTCTTTTCTAGTTCCATCCAATTCTTGTTCATTTTTCTCATGTCTGTCTCCATTTCTCAAAGTAATGTGTTCTTTACTCTTCCTCTCCTCCTTCGGCCTTGAGGATTCCATGTGAGGGCTTGTCTTGTGACGCAGTTCGGTGATTCCCTCAATTTGTGTCCTATCCACTTCCAGCACTTCTTCCTGATTTCTTCTTCCACTGGAATCTGGTTTGTTCTCTCCCACAGTATGTTGTTGCTAATAGTGTCCGGCCAACAAATCCGAAGTATTTTGCACAGACAACTGTTAATAAACACCTGTATCTTCCAGATGATGGATTTCGTAGTTTTCCAGGTTCCCGCCCCATACAGTAGAACTGTCTTGACATTTGTATTGAAAATTCTGACTTTGGTGTTGGTTGACAGACAGTTGTTTTGAGTTGTAGATGTTCTTCAGTTGTAAACATGCTGCTCTTTCTTTGCCCATCTGCGCCTTCACATCTACATCAGATCCACCGAGTTTACTGGTGATGCTGCCCAAATATGTAAAGGTTTTTCCATCTTTCAAATCTTCTCCGTCAATTGTGATTGGATTGTTACATGCTGTGTTGTATCGGAGAATCTTGGTTTTACCTTTGTGTATATTGAGACCTATTGCTGCTGAGGCTGCAGCTACACTGGTTGTCTTCTCCTGTATTTGTTGTTGCGTTTGCTATAGAAGAGCCAGATCATCTACGAAGTCTAGATCGTCCAACTGCATCCTAGATGTCCACTGTATCCCGTGCTCCCCTCCAGATATTGACGTCTTCATGATCCAGTCGATCACCAGGAGAAGGAGAAAGGGTGAGAGTAAGCAACCTTGCTTGACACCGGTCTTTACTTCGAACGACTTTGTCAACTGTCCTCCATGAACGATTTTGCAGTCTAATCCATCATAAGAATTCCGTATGATATTGACTATCTTCTGAGGTACACCGTAGTGTCGAAGAAGCCTCCATAGGGTCGTTCTGTCCACGCTATCAAATGCTTTTTCGTAGTCAATGAAGTTGATGTAGAGTGATGAATTCCATTCAATTGATTGTTCCACAATGATCCGTAGAGTTGCG